GCCTGCTTCTCCCTCTCCCACTCCCCCTGCTTGTGTTCCCTCTCTCGCTGTGTCGCTCTGTCAAATAAATAAAAAATCTTTAAAAAAAAATCAATTAAAATGTTTTAATGTGAAAATCATTGTGTAATGGAAGTATTTTTTCTAGAACAAGGATTTATTATTAGCAAAATGACTAAAAAACACTAACAACTTTAAATAAATACAAGAAATTTTTGATTCACTTTGTATAAGTAATATTTACAAATGTATTCTATACCTTTGTTGGTGGGACCAACCAAATAGGGTTGACTAATAAGAGCTCGTAGTATTTTTGGCATGGGTCATCCTTATAGGTCCATGAACTTCTCAACAATTCTATTTAGAGAAATAGACAAAACACTGAGTCATTAAAAAAAAAAAAAAGTCACATTTCATTCCCAAATAAGACAGCACTTTGGTTTTGTCCCTGTCCCCATCACCAACCAATTTTAAATGCTGGTACAAACAGACTCCCTGTAATACTGATTTAAAAATTTTTCATCTTATGTCCAAAATGTTTATCTTAAAAATCTCTTCAAATTAGACAGGTCTTATGTAGATAAAACATTATATTTTATGAAATTTTCCAAAAGGTAAGTATTAAAAACTGTTCTTTACACATACAAATGAATCCAAATAAAACCGCGGAAATCTGAGATCGCTGAATTATATGCAAGTTGATATCCTGGCTATGAGATCGCACTGCTGTAACTGTGTAAGACGTTTACACTGGGGGAAAATGGGGAAAGGGTACATCGATCTGTTTTCCTTCTTACAACTAACTACCTGTGCATCTAGAATTATCTCAGTAAAATTTCAATTTAAAAAATCCGTTACTTTACAAGATAAAGAACATTACTAGTTCTCCCAATTTTTCTAAATTAGGTTTATGTACATTACATACTAGCCTGAGCTAGAGAAGGCGTTCAGATGTCCCCTGTAGCCAGGAAGCGAGGCCAGATTGGGTTAGTTCCCACAACTTTTAAAGAACCGTTAATATGGACGCCCTGTTTTGTACAATCCGCAGGGATTCTATTCTGGGTCCGTTCTTACGGACTTGCATTTATAAAGTGCCCTTGAACACTAAACCATTCCTACTGCTAGATACACAGAACTAAAGGCAGCCAACAGTAGGGACAATGTATATACAGTCTGTGAGGGGAAAAAAGTTAAAGAACTTTCCTCCTAGGAAAAAAAAATGTGTAGTAAAGCTACAACTTAACATTTCATAAGTCAGTATAAGGAGATTAAGTCTAAGATGGATCTTAATTCATATAAACACTGATTCACTTCTTTAATGCACACGTTGGACCCCCTTCCTAAGGACCAGACAGACAAGATGAGCTCCGGCTCCGTCACCGACCGACGGAGGAGACGGCAGCGCTACGGGAGCCAACAAAGACGCGTTCCTAGTCCCTCCCCATGAGGTTATGGGAGCATGAGCGGCCCGGTCTGAACCCTGCCTCTTCTCGCATCTTCTTCTGACACTGAGGACTCAGTCACGGAAAACCTCCTTCCAGCATTTTCTCATTTCTCTGTAATTACTAATATGTTCTCTCCTTCCCGGAAATTCTATTCAAAATGAGGCCCAGCAAACCGACCCCTTACCCCAGAGGCTTCCAATCCAGTCCATCTTCTCAGCACATACATTGTTCAACGGCTCCAGCTTGGCAACCTCGGCCTGATGCTGCGCGAACGCGAGCTGAGCAACACCAAAAGGGAGCTGTGAGCGGCTGCGGACATGAAGGCTATGTCTACACATCCAAAACCCTGACTTCAAAACGTATCTTCACCAGACACCAGACAGTTCACGGTTTTTTAGTAGGAAAAAAACAAAAACATTTCTAATAACTTTTTTTTTATGATTTTATATATTTATTTGAGAGAGAGAGACTGAGAGAGAGAGCACATGAGAGGGGGGAGGGTCGGGAGGGTCAGAGGGAGCAGCAGACTCCCTGCCGAGCAGGGAGCCTGATGCGGGACTCGATCCAGGGACTCCAGGATCATGACCTGACCCAAAGGCAGTCGCCTAACCAACTGAGCCACCCAGGCACCCCAAAAACATTTCTAAATAGCAGCTCTTTTCCACTCATGGCAAAGCACAGTCTTAATGCAACGAGTGAGGATAAAGAACTATAGCTTCCTTCTTTGTAAGTAATTTTGATGAGAAAGGCAAACCTTTGTGCTAAAAAGGATTATTTTAAAAAATCAGTTCAAATTCATACCACACCCAAAAATAGTTATATATATTAAATGACTACTTCTCATTTTCTTTCACAATTCATGATAAAATGGTGTTTTGTGGGGCGCCTGGGTGGCTTAGTCATTAAGCGTCTGCCTTCGGCTCAGGTCATGGTCCCAGGGTCCTGGGATCGAGCCCCGCGTCGGGTTCCCTGCTCGGCGGGAAGCCTGCTTCTCCCTCTCCCACTCCCCCTGCTTGTGTTCCCTCCCTCACTGTGTCTCTCTCTGTCAAATAAATAAATAAAGTCTTTAAAAAAAAAAAGGATGACATTTCTGTCACCATCTTCTTACAAGCAAAGGTTTCACATAGGTTCACAATATTTAGCCAAAATATTGTGGTAGAAGCGATGCTGTGTTGGTTCTGGGCCTGGCTTGGCCTATATGAGGTTTAGCTGCTTCTACTTTGGAACGCCTGCTCTTTGCTCTCAGCTGCCATGCTGTGAGAAGGCCTGGCCACACAGAGAGGCCATGAGCAGAGGGCACACTAAGCTCCCAGCTGGCAACCAACATCAACAGCCGGCCATGTGAATGAGCCATCCTGGCAGTCCCAGGTCAATCCCATGGTAACAGACTTGTGACCCAGCCAACATCATGTGGAATAAAAGAACTATGCAGATGAGTCCAGTCAAGATCCATAAGCCCACAGAATCATGAAATATAATAAAATGGTTGCTTAAAGCCTCTAAACTTGGAGGTGGTTTGTCACACAGCAGTAGATAACCACAACATTTAAGCAGACAAATGATAAAAAGCAAACCTTAGGAAGACTTGGGAAAAGAACATCCAGAGAGTAGATACAGCAAGCATAAAGATCAGAGCGGGGAGGGGCGCCTGGGTGGCTCAGTTGGTTAAGCAACTGCCTTTGGCTCAGGTCATGATCCTGGAGTCCCAGGATCGAG